TTCTTGCCAGCGGAGTCATCTGTAGAAGAGGACGCTCGCGCGTAGTCATCCTTTGCCTTCATGCCGCCGAGGCTGTCGATCTCCTTACGCACACTGGTCATCCACTCGTCCATCTCTTCCGCACTCTCAAGAACGAGGAGAAAGCTTGTGGCTGTCTTGCGCATGGTTGCATTTTGTGTTCGCAATCGAGCGAGAAGAGAGTTCTTTGGTCCTGATTCGAATGTTCCGTCGTCGCTTGCGTGGCTGGATATCTGTAGCACCCAGTGCTTGCCAGGTATGAGATCGCACGCAAAAGCCGCTGATTCCTTGCCGAGTTTGAGCACCTTTTCAGGCAAGCGATCGAACGCGCCATCACCGGCATACTGTAGCACAAAGCCGGCCGTGACCAGGATGTATATCTTGTTGACAAGCTCCGGAGGTTGTGGGTTCAGCACCGAGTTGGACATGAGGCGCTTGTGGTTCTTTTCTAGTTTCTTAGTCTCTGCGCCATTTTCTGCGATGGTAGACAAGTCGCGCTGGATGTCTAACTTCTCGCGCAGCGATTCAGCCTGCCGTCTCTGACTTTGTGTCCTCATCAGGATCTCCGGGGCGAACACACATGCCTGTACGGTAGCGTGCTTTAAAGACTGCGGGAAAGCCTGGAACAGCGGAGGTGGATCCCAGTTTCCGAACTCGTGGTGCAGTATAGCTGGTCGCATCGAAACGGGTCGGAAGATCTGGCTTGAGCGTGCGCGAATCGTCTGCTGGGCGGGCGGAGAAGGGTTCTGCCGGAGGGAAGACTTCGGTATGGACATCGGTGGGGTGGGTTTGGGTGGCGTCTGCGGTCGCATCGGTACGGCGAGGCCAACTTCGGTGTGCCCGCGAGCTTTCTCTACTTTGGGTTTACTGAAGAGGCTGAACAACGACATCTTGGAGGCTACGCGTTCCACTTTCTTAGGAGGTGCTGGCAACGGGGCCTGTTTCTTCCCCATCGACGGTGTTTGTGATGCGACGGACGGTGACCGTTCCGGTTCCTGCAGAGTCGCGGTGGATCGATTGAAGCGCCATCGAGACGACATCGATGAGTTGTGAGTCTTGTTCCGCATGTTGCCGACAGGATTGGACGAAGCAGCATAGATTTGACCAGACAGAGCGGACATAGTGGGCGACCTTGGCTTATGAAGCCGGCGAAGTACGGTCGATACCAGAGCAACGTTGGCTCAAACGGTAGATGTGGGCGGGCAATCCAGGTCGTGCAAATTGGTTGCACGGGCAATCCAAGCGTTCCTCAAGACCCTGACAGGGTAGGCTTGCATTCAGCGTAAGCAAACCGTCGGACCGAGTCAAAGTATGGAGTCAGTAGAAAGTAGTTTGTCGTGGGAGTAATAGTGCGCGGGTAGAGAGTGTGGAGATTGCCAGGTTGGGGGTAGAAGGAGCGTGGTATAGGTGGCAGGAGTATAATACTAGGAGAGGGAGAGATCAAACGAGAGGACAGGACATGAGCCCCTAGAGAAGCAGAACGAGCTGCAGATATGACGGAAGCAGAGGAAAGCAGACGGGACTGAAACGACTTGTCAACGTTGAGTTGAGTCGTGGAGAGGAAAAGTGGCAAGCGTTAGTTGCCGCAGATGAATGCTCCCTAATCATGGTAGCGTACAGGGGGAGCTGTTCCCAGGTTCCGTCGTGTGTGATGCGAGGACGCAGGGGCTGCACGAAGGCCCCTTTACGGTCATATTCAGAAGAAAGTTGGGAGGGATGCGATGGCGCCGCACGCTAGCGCTCGCCTGGCCAAAATTGGCGTGTTTGACCTGGCTAGCCGGTGAAGTGTCGGCACAACGTCTTTTGACAGTGCTCGCAAGCTACATAATAGACTCGACGCCAGCTGGCAAAGGTGTGTTGCCCGGACGCAGCGGGATCTCATCAGGCGCCGACGACGATGAAGATTGTCGACCTGCAGCCACGATGTTTCAGCGGCAGCCTCGGGCCACTGTGCCCAAGGCAGTCTCTGAAGCTTGCTGGCGTGCTGGCCCGACGTGGAGATTTGATTGCACGGCGTCGTGACTGGAGTCGAGGCCTGCACGATCTACGACACGTCGGCATGAATGATCGCCGACAGTCAATACTCGGAGATATTGGATGGGGTTCGCAAGCTCGATATTCCTTATTGCGGAACCCATGGCCCCTTCCCGCCAAACACGAATCTGAGAACATGTGGTGAGGGCGCGAAAAAGCAGCGCGGGCACTGCGGCAGAAGTACCCGCGGAGTGCTCTATGTAGAGCGACACAACTCGGGGCGTTTTGCATAGTGGTGAGGTCGTCTCAGGTGTGACGCAGACGGCGAGGTGCATGCACGTATCGATTATCGAGCTGCGATGCCCGCCGCTGCACAAGGGTGGCATGCACAGTGGGAATAGTGCGAATCTTATTGCGGCGCGAGATTTCGCAGGGCTGGAGCGAGGAAACAGACAGCAAAAGGAAATGAGGCTGACCTGGGGAGGATGCGGCGTGGGCGCAGGTGTACCTTGCAGTAGCGCTGGCCGTGCTCAGGGCCGCCCAGGTGTCACGCTTAGCCCCGCTCACCCCACCAACCTCATCGAACGGGAGCTCAGCACGAGGTCACGCGTCTCTGGTGACTTCATCCTATACCCGCGCCTCATTCTAAGGACGGCACATCACACCACCACCTAAGAGTCCTAAGTACTATGGCGCCCGATCTGAACACCTTGCCCGCGTCTCCCCATGCATCTCCCTCACCCCGCAACCAGTCACCCACAAACTCACGCTCCATGGCTACTTCACCGCACTCACTCGCTGCCACTGCCGCTATGAATGCAGGTATTCACAACGAAGAGACGCGCCGCCCGTCTTCGGGTAGTATGCGCAGGGATGTCGAGCGTGCGCGTCGCCGGTCCAGCATTCGCATGAACCTCAACTTGAACGACCCAGCTATCCCGGCACCTGGAGAAATGCAGCAGAGCCCATCCTCCCGTAGCAGGGGTCCATGGCCGCATAGCCCGCACCATGAGCGTGCGCCTAGTTTGGGAGAGCTGCATCAGGAGCTGGAGTATGAGCAGGAAGGACAGGTGGTGAGTCCTATTATGCAGTGATTGTAGACAGAGCGGTGCAATCTCTATCTAACATTCATATTTGTACTGACATATACAGAACCGACTACTCAACATGATTCGTTCCCAGCAGACCCAGATAAACACCCTCCAAGCAAACCAGCAACAGCCCTCTGCTTCCGCCGTCGACGACAGCACCCCAACCTCGGAGCGTTCCATGTCTATACCTCCCTCGCTCACACAGTCTACACACATCTCACCACCTATCGTCTCACCCTTGCCATCCGCTACCCACCCCCGATCTCGCTCTCCATTCGGCTTCGGTACCATCAGTCGCCAGTCATCCTTTGCCGACCGTTCACGACACAGCAGCCATGCAGGATCCCCAGCTCTGCGTCCTATATCAGGCCAAGCAGGACCCTACGACCCCCACGACATGCTTCCCAGCCCCGCGACTTCAAGAGACGAGAGTGCTTATTACCAAGCCGAAACCCAGAACCTGACCCGCGAGAACCAGATGCTGAAGCTAAGGATAAGAGAACTTGGTATGCCATTTCCCAGCCACTACATTGAAGCGCGATGCTAACATTTCAAACCCAGAGCGCCAACTAGCAGACCAAAACCCCACCAGCCAAGTCACCCACTCCCCCACCGTCCACTCCGGCCTCGCTCCTGCCTCGACTCATGAAAGCACAGATGCGGGTAGCGAGGGCGGTCAGCCACCTGCATCGGCAGAGTAGGAATTCTCGCTAGACTGTGTTTCAAGGGCGTTTGGTTCGGGCGCCTCATCATACGACATTGACGAAGCGTGCTGGCGCAGAAAAAAATGATTATGCTGGATGGTTAAATGGCGTTTAGGATAATTCTCCAGTACGAGAAGACGAGTCCTTTCACCAGCCAAAATGCTGGGTGTAGTCGGAATTGAGGTCCATAACCTATGTTCATACTCCGTTTCTTGATTTGTACACGTGAAACCATTCATCTCATACTCTTTTCAGACCCCACTCCAAATTTACCAGAATTTGATTCCACAAAACACATCGTGCCAGCACGAACATTTACATACCATCTTACCAGCACTACCCTACTGCCCTGCCACCCCAAATCCCTCGTACCTCGTACGAACCCCCTCCACCCATTTCACATTACCACCCCCATCCCAGCACCAAGGCCATCCCAGCACCAACCCCCGAACCGCATGCAACAACCGTTCATCCCGCCCCTTCCCCACCTCGGCGTAAGCGAACTACCGTAATCACTCACGTGTAGAGTTTTTCGTTTTTTCGCGGGACATGAATCGACCTTGTTTGATGTACATTAAGCGTTTCCTTTACGCCCGCGCATAATTTATCGATAGCGAGGAAAAAATAGTAAACTTGATAGGTGTGACAAGGGACCCCACTTCGGATTGATTGGACAAGTACCCCGCGTTGTGTACGTGGCTTTGTTGGTGGTTGGGAGACGGTGCTTGGTGGAGGGCTTGTTGGTGACGGGACAGTGCTCAAGCAGAGTTTTCTGTTTAGTTGGTGGACAGTTGTCAGAAAGTTGTCGGGGCAATAAAGTGTAACAGGTTGAAAAGGTGGCGGAGTAGGTATTCAGCATGGTGTTACCCGGTATACGTCCCGTGGGTATCAGATACACAAGTTGAAAATATGTCGAGTGATCGAATTGGAGTATGTAGCAAGAAAGAATCGCTACACTAAACATGTACAGGAACAAACACCCTGGTATCCTCCAGACACCCCATGCCCTATAATCCGTTTCCAAGTCTCTGCTGCGTGCATAGATGTGGATGGATGTGAACCGTTCTCATAAACGCCTATTGCTCCGTCCAGCTAACCCATGCAAAGTGTCAAACCGCTGTCAGTCCGATGAGTACGCGTCCTCTACCTCTTCTTCGGAGTACGTGTAATCCTCTTCATCAGAGTACGTGCAATCCTCTTCTAAGAAGGATTTCTACTCCTCCTCTACCTCCTCCACCGTTGCGCGCGGCGCCCGTTGTGTGACGGCACCTTCTGGAGCGGCTTCTGAACCGGTAGGCTGTGGTGCGGAGTTGACAGGCTCAGAGGCGGGGGTAGCAGCGGGCGCTGGTACAGCCTGAGCGGGGGCAGCATCGATGGCGCCTTTCTTGGGCTTCCCACCGGCGGCCTTTGCGGCGAGTTTGGCAGCCTTCTTCTCCTTCTTTGCAGCCTTCTTCGCCTTGATGTCTTCCGGGGTCTGAAGATATTAGCTTTGAGTCTACAAGCTTCAGCAAAGGAAACATACCTCTTGCCATGCGTAGACAGGCCGGAACGAGTCGAAGAAACCAACATCCTCAAATAGATTAGGGTAGAGCCAGAAGCCAGGCGGTATCGTGAAGACGGTGATGATGAATATAATGAGCCGAACAATCGCCATGGCGAAGAACAATCCGATCAGACCAAGCATGCCCATACTCAAGTACCACACGCCCTGTCGCAAGAAAAGCGGCCATAGAGGGAAGAGCACTATCGTAATGACGAGAAGCAGTGCGCCAACAGCGTACAGCTTCTGCTTCCATTGCGACCCCTCGTACAGCCAGATGTAGTAGTTGTCGTCGTTCGCGTCTTGGTGCTGCTCGATCTTGACTGTCCACAGACCCTTGACGCGCTTGGGCTTGGCGTGGTTGTGGCCATCGTGCGCATGGTCGTCGACCTTTGTGACTCGCAGCGCGAGGAGAGAGAGGGGTAGCAGCTTGAAGCAGTTCTCGGCGGAGGCACGGTCGATGACTTCGGGGAGGAGAGGGTTCTTTGCTCGGGCTTTTTGATATGCGGGGGACTGGAGGGCACGGATTGCTCGCTTGACTGTTGGGTGTGAGTATGACGTTTATAATTGAAGTGAATGTAATGCCCACCTTTGAACATGTCCTTCCTCTTTTCATCATGTACGACTGTCCTAGGCTTCAAGTCCTGCGACTTCAGCCAGTTGGCGACGGCAATGGCTTCTGGCTTGGGAGGACCGGGCTGTATGGGCTGTTGCTGCTGCTGCTGAGCACGCTGTTGCGCCTGCATTTGCGCCTGTTGCTGGGCCATGGCTTGCTGGCGCAATCTTCCGACGTATTCTTGAACCGTAATACCGTGTTTCGCTGCCTCGGCCTCTAGTTGCATTTTGATCTGTTGTATTTGCTCTGGCGTAGGCTTTTCGCCATTGGGTCCGAGGGGAATGGGAATGGAAAACGAGCCTGGTGGTGGCCCGCCTTGAGGGGGACCCTGCTGCGGTGGGGGACCTTGCTCTTCCATAGTGAAAGGGAAACTCGTGACGTTCGGTGAGGTGAGTGCAGCGGTGCCTGTGCGGGAATCCTTTGTTGTGGAGGGCGTCCGGAGGAGTATAGGCTCAGTGTCTGACCACCGTGGAACATTCGTAATGATGCCACATTGCGAATGGTAGGGCCGAGCGCGGCATGACTAAGCCACCTCCGATAGAATAAAATCTCTGCGAGCTGGAACTGTGCTTTACAACACCGCAAACACCACTTTCTACCACAGTTCTTTCTCGTCGCATTCACGACTGCACACACTGGTCTGCATTCTACTGTCTGTTACTCTCAGCCATTATCGCGATTGCATCCGCATGCAAACCTGCCAATGCGCAGTGGCTGGGCGCACAGTATACAGTCAGGGACCCATCGAACTACATCTCATACTAACCACAGCTCTTTCCTGAGTACCTGCATCTACTCTACGCCTTTGGCTATGAGGCGCACGTCTGGCCATTGCGGCAGGGCGTTGATGCTCGCCTGGAACAGCGCCGCTTCGTGTCGCCTGGGCGCATGCAGTGCTTCCACGTACAGTCCCGACAAGCAAACTTGGATATCAGAATCAAGCCAGCTCACTACGTCGCTGCCTGGATATGCTCCGAACCATGTATGCTGGCATGATTCTGGCGGCGACATTATGCTCGTGATGTTCACTTCACCAACACTCTGGCCCTTACTTCCCTTACTGTATAGGCCTATTTTGGTGTGAAGAAGAGGAAACGACCCATTACTCACCGCGTTGTCTTGCCTTTTGGTCTGGCTCCAGTGGTCCTTTTTCGAGGTCAACATACATACACATTGAGTTCCTGCTCATGATCATGTGCTGTCGAATACACAGCTTCCGCTCGGTCCGGTGCCGCATTCTTGGTACGCTATGCGGATCGACATGCGCCTGGCACATGAAACATGGCATCAGTGATGAGTTACTATAATGGTGGTTCGACATGTGAAGACAGATATGCAGTCGTCTCAGTCAGACAAGCAGCTGCAGCCGTATATGCGGCGGTAGTCTCGCCTAAATACAAAGGGCGTTTCGGGCGCCCCAGGCTACATCATCAGAGCTCGAGCAAAAGGGCCGGCCTGACTAGGTGACAAAGAACGGGCACGGCGGGCTGTTGGACGCTGGATGCATGGTGGTGGCCCAGTGGATATTGCGGCACCTGCATTGATGGACGCGCTGGTGGATTAGAAGGCTGATTGGCGCTGGAGATCGCCGTGAACGTTGGATGGGACTAGGGCCCTGGTAAGCCGCCGTCTCTGGCGGCTTGATGGCTCTGCAGCCCGCCCAGGTGGAGTTGGCGACGCGCGATGCGGAGAGCATCAGGACCGACTTTTCTTTTCATCGAGTCGGTGTAGCAGCGAGCGGCCTTCAGTCTTTCGGTCTTCACGTGTATTGACATCCGGCGCCTGACACGTCTTGCGTAGAGCGCGATCATCGATCATCGATCATCACCAGAAACCCCCAGACGGCCTGTCGTGTTGCAGCAGGGATCGCTCCAAGCCACCACTCGAACGACTGAGTGCATACGGAAGTGGATAGGCCTGCCGCTGCTTGGTCTCCGCCGCACCACACCTCGTCATCTCTCGCGCCCGCCTATCCGCCGACAGTGAGAAAAAGCAGGCATCGCCGCACTGCTGAGCGCTGACATTCTCGCCCTCCGACTCGGGCGCTGGACAGCTGCAGACACGCAGCCAGGCAGAGACGACGTGACGGACCGCTGCTGCGCCCCAGGTCGCCGCCCGTACCACGCTTATCCTGTGCCCCAAGCCCGCTGCTGTGCGCCCTCCGCGCAGACGACTCCCGTTCCGCGACACGACGCCCGACCGCGTCCCACGAACGCGCAAACTATCCGCCCGCGAGTGCGCAGCCAGACCGGCGGCTCTGGTGCATGCGAGTGGGTACATTCCAGACAGACACGTCTAGGGACCCGCCCTTACCTACCTACACCATCGGCCACCGCTCCTCGCCGCATATCCTCATCCATCGCGCGCTGACGCCTGGGGCCACCGCCACACTCCGCTCCCATCCAACCCCGCGACACACCCGTCATTACCGGCGCCGTAAATAGACGCCTACCTGCTGCCGACAGCATCTGCGACCACCTGTTCTCCCGCTACTGCCGGGGTCTCTGCTGGTGACGTGCCAGTACGGGGACGCCCGGTGCTGAGGAATCCGAGCCACGCCCCAAAAGACATGTCAGTCGTAGCAGACAGGCGACGATTTCGCGAAGGCATCGGCACCAGTCGCTCCTGGTGAGGCTGTGTCGACCCTCTGAACACCACTTCCACGACTTGTCTGATATCTCACCATGACTATGGTTCGGCAGTACCCCCCGCAGCCGCCGTCGCAGCTTCCCTCCTCCGTGGCCTACAACAACATCGCTCCTGCCCCCGCCCACGCCCCGTTCCTCCGCAATGCCGCCAACTTCGAGGGACACAGTCTCGCCCAGCAAGCGCGGCCGCAGCAGTACGCCCACCCGCTCTCCAGACACAACTCGTACGGCTCCCAGCCCTCCGAGTCTGGCCGGACACCCAAACCCGCAGAACACATGCTTCGCCGCAAGACGCCCAACGGAATTCTGGCAGCTGCGTATGACGGCACATCCGTCGAGAAGAACGGGGAGCCGCATGCAACCAAACACATCCTCCTTCCCGTGACAGCTGAATCAAAACCACCTTACGGTGTCAAGCAGGATCTGCCTCTTCGCTCGCCAGGTGTCAACAGCGGCTTCGGACACGGTCAACAGAATACGCCAGAATGGAGTCCCAGTCGCTACTTCGAGACCGGGTCGGGTCTTACTGGCCAGCACCTACCCCAGATTGATTCTATGCTGAATCAAATACCCACGTTACAACCTCTTCTTCCATATCAAATGTACGGCCATCCCTTCTGCGGGCCCATGGGCCCGCCCTTCCAGGCGCCGTTGAATCCGACTGTTTCCAACGACCAAGGACCATTTGGACCCTATTGGCACGACGGCACTTACATCCCATATCGGCCTGCTGCCATGCGGGATCCTCGTTTCCTACATCATCCGAGTCACAATTGGAGTCACCCGCATAGTAATGCCTTTATCAGTCACCCTTACAATGTCGTGCCCAACTATGCTCATTATCCGCAAAATCCTGTCCACCTGGATTATACCCAAGGCGCCTACAATCATCCAGCGAGGCCGTCAATAGACTTATCCCCCTATGCACAGCCTCAAAACCATGTCGCGTTAGACTATCAGAATCAATCGCTACCTCCCCCTCTCACACAGCGTCCTCAAGATTACCTACACTCTGGCCAGACGACGCCAGTCGCGGAGTATACCCCCATCATGCCGACCGACGAGTACGGGCCAGAGTCACCCAACGGGCAAAGTCGGGAAAAGGTGTTTGCTTGGGCTCACGCAGTATATGTGGACCTACTCAAGTACCTTCAATCAACACGTAAAGCCAATTCGCAAAACGCTCATGGACGTACACACCATAGACCGCACATCTATCCTAAGCCGCCACGGCAGCCTGGACTCAGTCTGTCGAGTTCCTCCACCAACAGCGTTCCATCTCTGGAGCGACGTGTCTCATATCCTATTCCTACTCAGTATGCCTCTCACTCGAGGGCAGATTTCGGATCTAGGAGACCCGCAATGCCACACTCGCGCTCCCTGTCCGCGTGGTCCGTAGGCAGCTCGGATGCAAATGGCCAATCATGGCAAGGGGTACCACCGCAACACTCTATGCTGCCCCCAATGCCAGGCATGGATCCACCACGTACCTTGCGGCGGACCTCTGGCTCAGTCGCAGGCGCCCACCAGAATCTCCGCCAGGGCCTGCCTCCGAGTATGACCGCTGCCTCAGCGCTCGAAGCGATCACGAAGCATTGTGAAGAGAGTAAATGGAGCTGGATAGATGGCATACTTTTAGGGGGTTGTCTCGCGTATGCACTAGGTGACTATCAAAAGGCTCAGGACTGGTACAAACACATCCTTACCTTGGACAAAGAGTGAGCACCCCACTTTCTATCCCCGATTCATACTAACGCACACCAGTCATGTTGAAGCTATCTCGAACCTTGCAGCTACAATGCTTGCTCTTCAGCAGAAGCGTGAAGCCGAAAACTACTGGAGACGCGCAGTGAAACTTCGACCCAGTTACTTCGAAGCTGTCGAGCACCTGATTGGCCTACTCTGCAGTGACCACAAAGGTCGTGAAGCTGTTCAGGTCATCGAAGAAGTTGAACGCCATTTGAGATTTGCCAAGAGGGCCGACGCTCTTCGGAGCCTCGAAGTTGAAAGCGAACGTTCTGCCTCTGAAATAAGCGAGTCAAGTCTATCGGAAGCATCTGATCGGCCCGTGTTTGAGTTCGAGGGGGAGGACGAAGCCGTCTTCAAGGATCTAGACGAGCTCCCTGGCTCGGACCAGCCAGGCTTTGGTTCAAGCGGCTATGCCATTGCTGGTTGCGACAACGGTCGCGTTCTAGCTCTGGTGCATGCCAAGGGCAACATGTTGTACGCACTCGGCGACAATGCCGGTGCCGCCAGGGCTTTCGAGAACGCGGTCCTCATCGCATCTGGACCTCATCCCAATGGCATCGATGGCCTCATCAGGCGCATTCTTGGCGTCGTTGGATACAATGTAGCGGAACGCTCTCCAGGAGGTCGACGTATGCCCCCATCGTCTGATCCTATACTGCTACCGCCGGACGCAGCGACCAGAACGGCTTTGCTCTGCTTCGCGCCGCACGGCCAACTTCCGGGCCTGAAATACGTTCCTAGCGAAGGTCTCTCTAGGAAGGCGGCTATCTCGACTACAAGTAACTCTCTGCTTTCGTTAGCAAAGATTTTCCAGGACGGTATGGCAACCAACTCACCCAAGAATACCGTTTACCAAAGTAACTATGGTGTACGAGAGATTTTGGCTCTATACTACCTGTCGCTTTCCCTGCAGCCTAGCCCATCGACTGCAAACAACGTGGGCATTCTTCTCGCTAGCGTACAGCAATCTGCCCCTTCGAAAGCCAATCCAATGTCGCATGCTTTTGCCGGACCCCACATCCCTGGGCTGATGCCCGGTAGTGGAGTAGCTCTTGCGCTTGCGTACTACCACTACGGACTCCAGCTCGATTCATCCCATGCGCATCTCTATACAAACCTTGGAAGCCTCTTGAAAGATATCGGCCAACTAGATTCTGCTATAAACATGTATACACAGGCAGTCAAGTGTGATCCGAACTTCGACATTGCTCTCGCCAACCTCGCCAACGCCGTCAAAGACAAAGGCCGGATAGCCGATGCCATTTACTACTACAGAAAAGCAGTAAAGTCCAGTCCAGACTTTGCCGAAGCTGTCTGCGGGCTTGCTAATGCCCTTAACTCTGTTTGCAACTGGGCTGGCAGAGGTGGTATTGCCGAACACGGCGGATCAAGAGACCGCTGGCATGTCAACGACAGTGGCATGCTTCTAGACGCCAAGATACCCGGTGCGTCGAGCTCAGGTTGGATCCACAAAGTCGTGAAATTGGTCGAGAAACAGCTTGCCGATGGTGAGGACTGGGGTCGAGGCATGATGAATGGACAGTTCATACAAGATGTCATCCGTCCCCTAGCTCTCACGGGGAGCGCGCAAAATGTGAAAGAGAAGGAAAATAGCATGGTGTCAGTGTTGCAGCAATGGAAGGGTCAAAAGTGGGAGGGTGCTCGCATCGTACGACTCGTTGAGCGTGCTATACGATGGATGACTTGGCAATGGTACCAGGATCGCTACGTCACTGGAACACAGCGACCACCGGCCTCCTACAAGAGACCTCAATTGCCAGCAGCTTTGACGGTACCTGCGGCGCCTACTGTCCTACCGTTCCACACATTCACCTGCCCCATGTCGGCTAAACAGATACGTCTTATCTCGCAACGTAATGGCCTCCGCATTTCGACCTCGACGTTGAGAGTCCCTTGGTTACCTGCGACCGTCTACCAGCCTCCTGCGCCACCGAAACCATACTTGAGGGTCGGCTACGTATCATCGGATTTCAACAACCACCCGTTGGCCCACTTGATGCAGTCGGTATTCGGTTTCCACAATCCAGGTAGAGTGAAGGCATACTGTTATGCCACCACAGCGAGTGATGGATCAGAGCATCGTAAGCAGATTGAGAGGGAATCGCCTGTCTTCTACGATGCCAGCAGCTGGTCAGCGGAACGACTTGTTCACCAGATAACTCAAGATGGCATCCATGTTCTTGTCAACTTGAACGGCTACACAAGAGGTGCGCGGAATGAAGTCTTCGCTGCCCGTCCCGCCCCTATCCAGATGGCGTTCATGGGTTTCGCGGGTACTCTCGGCGCCGAGTGGTGCGACTATCTTCTTGCCGATGATACCGCTGTTCCTCCAGATACACTCCGACAATGGCGCCGTAACATTGACCTGGAAGACGCTCTTGTAGACGACAACAGCGGTGGTTCAGACGAAGAATGGATCTACGGAGAGAACATTGTCTTCTGCCGGGACACCTTCTTCTGTTGTGACCACCGGCAAAGTGCTCCAGATTCGCAAGGACGACAGCCCAATTGGGAAGAAGAGCAACAGCGGAGGTGGGCCATGCGTAAAGAGATCTTTCCCAACCTCTCGGATAATGCGATCATCCTTGCAAACTTCAACCAGCTGTACAAAGTAAGTTCACTTGCGCCTCTTCCATGTTTCTGATCGCATACTAACGCTATCATCAGATCGAGCCCACGACGTTCCGTACCTGGTTACGCATTCTTGAAAAGGTTCCCAATGCCGTTCTCTGGCTCTTGCGTTTCCCCGATCTTGGTGAGACCAACCTCAAGCAGACAGCTCTTGCCTGGGCAGGTGCAGATGTAGCAAGCCGCATTATGTTCACCGATGTTGCACAGAAGCATCAGCACATCTCTAGGGCTCGTGTCTGCGATCTGTTCCTCGATACACCGGAGTGCAATGCACACACAACCGCCGCCGACGTCCTCTGGTCTGGAACACCACTACTGACGTTACCTCGCTACAAGTACAAGATGTGCTCTCGCATGGCAGCTTCAATCCTCAAGGGCGCGTTACCCAAGACACCAGCAGGTGCTCAAGCTGCGAAAGAGCTTATTGCGAGCAACGACGATGACTACGAAGCCATGGCCGTACGTCTCGCACGCAACTGCACGTACAACGGCTACCGAGCGCAAGGCCGCTTGAGCGAGCTTCGCCGCATGCTTTACGAATCACGATGGTCAAGCCCGCTTTTCGACACCAGACGCTGGGTCAGAGACTTGGAAGATGCTTATGAGATAGCATGGAAGAAATGGGAGAAGGGAGAAGGTGGCGACATTTGGTTGAAACACGAACCATCTCCGCGCACTTAGCAATCGACTTTTATCATTCATTTAGACCGCCGGCATAGCTTTTTTTTTATTTGCGGCGAGCATTACACATATCTGGGTTAGACTCAGTCGGCATACGCCAAGGGACCCTTGGATTTAGCGAGCACGTACGTTCGTTGTTGTTGTTCTTCTTCTTTGTTCCTATACCCCATATTGATTTGGATTGGATATTTATGGATGTTTAACTAGCTTATGTGGCAACCTTCATCATATGCGCGCGAAGTAGATAGCTTCTGTCGCTTTCTGGAACAGCATTTTCTTGGGCGTTGGATGACTTGCATGGCACCGTAACGGAGCCGAATACTATCCACCAGTTGTCTCCGTCTTCTTCATTCGCACTGGATCTGAACGTGTCTGAACTGACATCTCACCAAGCACCTCACGGATGTTTCTTTCGTCCAACAACAGAATTAGCACCAACAGAAGTACAATGAACTCCATTACACACATGTACAAAGATAGTGCCATCTAATTAACGAAGTTCCACGCAAACGATTCTGAGTGCAGGCTAACAACTCATGGGTATTCGTGATGTTGCGCTCAGGAGATGAAGCAGTAAGCTCGATCGTAGCACTAGCAAAGCTTAGCGCGATCGCGTCTCCACAAATCCCCCCCCTACACCTAACCTGCATCACGAAGCATTCTTACCAGCAATATCAATCTACCATTGGACCATCAAACCTCTAAACATTATCCGCACACACATTCAACGCGCCATGGCTCCGCGCAAGAAGGCTACCACAGCCGCCAAACCCAGTAGCAAACCCGCGAAACCCACCAAATCCGTCATTGCACCTCCTACATCACCATTGGCACCAGCACTACCACCTGCACGCGCACATGATGCGTCTTACCATTACCCGCTTCTTTTGGACAGTCGATCAGATTGCGACGCGTTGTTGAGTTGGTTCCACGGCGTTGCGGAGACGCGTAGTATGCCGTGGAGGAAGAAATGGATCGACCCCGAAGAGTATGAAGACAAGGAGGAGCTGGGACGCGTTTTGTCGAAGAGGGCGTATGAGGTTTGGGTTTCGGAAGTTAGTGAGTATATGTTTCCTTGTGGTAGAGTTTTTGCGATTGGACGCGTGAACGCGGTGTCACGTGCTCTGTTCGCGATCGCGTCTCTGGAGGTTTGAGGAAACGTTGGCTGACAACCGTATAGTGCTCCAACAGACTCGCGTGTCGACAGTAATACCGTACTTCAACAATTGGGTCGAAAAGTGGCCCACGGTTCAAGATCTTGCCGAAGCGAACCATGATGATGTTCTTTCCGTATGGAAGGGTCTGGGTTACTACTCACGCGCAACGCGTCTTCATGAAGGTGCGAAGGCTATGATTGCCAAATCTGCTGGTGCTTCGTGTGCACTCCCCAGTGGTGCTACGGAGTTACAGGAATTTCCCGGCATTGGAAGATATACTGCAGGTGCGGTGTCTAGTATCGCATTCGGTGAAGCAGAGCCCGTCCTCGACGGGAACGTGGCGCGCGTGCTCAGTCGACAGCTGGGTTTGTACATGGATGTTAAGGACAAGAAGGCCACAGACGTTCTTTGGGATATGGCCGATCGACTAATCAAACACGCTTCTAACTTTCCGGAAACACGGACGAGTGAGGTGCCCGGGCTATGGAATCAAGCGCTTATGGAACTCGGATCCACTTTGTGTACACCGCGACCCAGGTGTGACGAGTGTCCTATTCAGTCGACATGCAGGACCTATAGCGAAGGAAAGGCGTTATCTGACAAGCGCCAGTCGGTGGTTGTAGTGCCTGACATTGAGGATGCATGCTCTCTTTGTGCGTCGTTGGATACCGAAGATTTGGTAGCAGTTTCTGAAGACGCAACGAACGATGAGCCGCCACGAGCGAACAAGAAGAGAAAAGCCGCCACGAAACAAACAAACACTATCTCGCAGTACTTCTCCGTTGGAACGCCCAAGTCAAACGTAGAAACGGAAGACGAGGAGGAGGATCTTGATAGCCCACCTGTCGAGGATTCCAGAAAGCGGAAGCTGCCGGCGCCTACTGGAGAGTCGAAATCTATATCCACGTACTGCTCACTATTCCCGAAGAAAGTGGCGAAGAAGAAGGCAGCCGAAGAAGACTGTGTGGTATGCATGGTAGAGTTGCGCTCGAATGACTGCAGCAGTAAATGGCTGATAGAGCAGAGGCCCGCCAAAGGTAAGCTTTGCACTACGATACTAAAGCACTGCTGACGGTTGCGTGAAGGTCTCCTCGCATCACTGTGGTACGTAATAAACGCATGCTATCATGGCGCCACTGCTGGGTGGCTGCTCGGGTACTGGCTAACGCCCATTGCCGTCCGGCATCATATCATGTCTCATGATAGGCTCATTGCTCGGCTTTTCTTATCTAGTGCTGGGGCGCACGCTGACCGTGATACAGGCAATTTCCGCAGAACACGCTGACTGCATCACACAAGACGCCTCAGCAGCGCAAGACGTCGGCGCAGCAATACATCTCTGACCTCGATGCCGGTGCCGCTGACATGAGCAAAGCGCGTTTTGTTGCCAGCTTTCCGCCATTGGTCCATGTGTTTAGCCATTTGAGGCTGACCATGCATACCTATCAGTACAGGATCGACGCCGATAAGGCCGGAGATATCGAGCTTACATGCAAGGGCCCGCCCACCCGCAAGTGGGTAGACAGCAAAGCCATGGACAACGAGACTTTGTCTACGGGAATGCGCAAGTGCTGGGACCTCGTTTCCGAAAGCCTCTGATGATGTTGTCGCGAGGCACTTGCGATGGGTGAGTTCAGACAGATTCCACGTGCGCCCTACCCCACGTCCCGTTATCTCCCGCCAAGCGATACACATGGCTGGCTTCCGCTTTCCGCCTCCTTGGCCATCTCCACTCCTCCTTAGTGTCCTGGGGAAGTGGAACGATAAGGAACTCTCAATGTCTCTCACTATACCGATCACGGCGAATAATTCCTTCCCATGGCTGTGGTTCTGCTAGCGAGTTTGTGGTTGGCTGGAAACAACGCGTTGCATATCATGTTATCCTGGGAAAAAGATGGCGCGCTCGTGCAACCGAGACGTGCGTAGGGAAGAGATCGCTAGATATAAACGTGGTCGATCCCCGAGGGTTCGGTACTGTGAATTGCTCCGAGTGTACAACTTTTGGTGCTTTACCGTACAACGTGTTGTCAATATGGCGGCTATTCCAGCCCCGACACCCATCACAGAATGGCCGGACTACGCTGTCGATCCCAATGGAGGAGACGTCATGACAACTGATCTCAATGCGCTCTATGACAAGGGCGATCTGTGTTGGATGCTGGTCAGCACAGTGCTATGTTGGTATGTGACACTTCTGTAGCAGTTAGGAACGAAACATACTGATTGCAATCAGGCAAATCACACCCGCCATCGGCTTCCTCTACGCAGGAATGCATCGCCGAAAAGCAGCGCTGACCATGATCTTCCAATCTCTCTTCTGCGCCTGCGCCGTCGGCATCCAATTCTGGGTATACGGCTACTCTCTCTACCAGTCGCATACGACCAACCCTTTCCTTGGAGATTTGTCAAAAGCAGGTCTACACAACACACTCGCTTCACCGTCGCTTGCAAACGCCGATATCCCTGATATACTCTATGCTGCATTTGGGTTCACTTTCGTTACCTGCACCGCGATGATCTTGGCAGGAGCGATGCTAGAGCGAGGACGCTTGTTTCCTTCGATGCTCTTTCTGCTCTGCTGGACTACGTTTGTATACTACGTGCTAGCACACGCGGAGTGGAATCCTAGTGGTTGGCTTTACAAGCTTGGTGTTCTTGACTTCGCCGGCTCGGGTCCTGTACACATCGCGTCTGGGTTTTCTGCTCTGGCTTGGGCTGTTATGCTGGGGCCACGCGTTGACCCGCATAAAGAGTCGCATCACCCCAGGATACCGCACTTCAAGCCTCACAGCCCTTTCCTTGTTGGACTTGGCACGATATTGATCTGGTTTGGATGGTTTGCATTCAATGGTGAGTCAAGGCTGTATGTCGAGATGTTGTAGCAGTGTACTGATAGTCTTCAGGCGCCTCGACGGCCAACCTATCCCTTCGCTCTATCTACATCGTCTGCAATACCAACCTCGCCGCCTCTGGTGGCGGAATAGCCTGGGTCTTACTGGAATACATGTTCACGCGCAGATTCTCCATCATTGGCTTTTGTTCAGGAATCATCTCCGGTCTCGTCGGTATCACACCAGCCTGTGGATTCGTGCCTGTGCAGACCGCAGCCCTGATCGGAGCCCTTACCTCCTGCGCATCCTTCTTCACAGTCCGCTACAAATACCTCCTCGGCATCGACGAAGGCCTCGACATATTCGCCATCCACGGCATCGGCGGTTACGTCGGCGACATCATGACCGGTTTCTTCGCCGCACCCTACGTACCCGCCATGGACGGCGTAAGCAACACCTACGAAGGCGGCTGGTGGGCCCGGAACTGGAAACAGATGGGTTACCAGCTGGCTGCTGCGACTACATGCGCCGCATGGTCTTTTGTCGTCTCGGTCATCTTACTCTTCATCATCAACAGGATTCCTGGTTGCCATATCCGTGCGACTGAGGATGATGAGCTGAGGGGTTTGGACTATAAGTATTTCAGCGATGCAGATGGGGATATGGAGGTTCTGACTGGATATGGCCCTACGACTCCGGGTCGAGCGGTGTCGCAGGTTGCGAGCGGGTCTGAGAGTCATCAGGAGGTGCCTGTTGCGACGGAGAAACGGGATTGAGGCGAGTGCGCCTGATGATGCTGTTCTGCACCGCTCGGATGATTCGACAGCACATCGATCTTTCCTTATGTCTTCCCCGTTCGGCGATTGTACGCTTCGCGATTGGGTATGGCTCTGTAGACTCGTCCTCTTTTCTTCATGTATATTTCAGGTCTTGTTGTCTTTCTGCTTTATGTTCTGCAATCGAGATACCAACATTTATCTGCTTACCATTTCACCATTCTTGCTGTTCTTGTCCCCTTCTCACCCTCAATTCGGGTAATTCGGGTGTCGCCACCTCGCTTCTTGGGTGTCTAATCACCCGTTTGGCGGACCTTACTGAGTGGCTTCATCTGTGCCGATGTATCCAACACCGCGTTACCCTCGCATGCCGCTGCTCCCTCAATTACATAAACATCGAATGCCCAGCTCAAGCCCAACATGTGCACGCATTCAAAATGAAGACAATCACGGCAATGGCCATCAACTTCCTCGTCGCAGCGTTTACGCACCCACCCAATCCACTCATTACCCCACACGCGGAGCTCGCGGCCCAGCATACATCATCCGGAAGTGATCCGGCGCTAGTTGGTTGGATCGACACGACGGATGGACAGTGTAAGCTTGGCCTCGTCCTTCAGCAGATCTGCAACTTCCTTATCTAGTATCCCGCATCCACTGACCCAACTACAACGCAGTCTTCGACCTCCGCTCCTGTGACTACACAGCCACCTTGTCAAACTCTCACATCTTGGCTCGATGCTATGCACTCGGCTCAGACTGCACCTTCTGGTTATCATGTGGCTCTCCAGTGCTTTTGGCTGGACCGACGAGGTTTTTCTGTGATCAGAAGTATTGCAATACGGCGGTTGTGGTGCCGACTGTGGGTGCGAGTGAGGTGTAAGTTTTCTGGGTTGTTGGGCGACGAGTTTGGGTAGGGAGCCTTTCACTGTGGTGAAGGATATAGGGTATGATATGTACACTGTGTTTTGTCTGGTTCATGTGATGTAACGCTGATGTGTTGGGAGCTGATGTCACGCAAAGTGTAAGGCATGTTTTGGAGAGGTAATAGGATCGAGATTGATTACATCGCTATTACATGATAGACTCTATTCGACACACACACAAAAGCTTGTTCAAAGAGTGGATGAGAGTTGAACATCTGCTTGAGAACAAGAGAGCTGATCTTTTTACCATTTCTCATCACTTCTCATACTGTCGCGAGTTAGTCAGCCCTACTTTAGCGCTTATATTTTGGAAGCTTACTATCGTGTACATCTCTCTAGGCCCTGTAGTACGAAGCAATCGCATTGGCACTAGCCCCGTTGAAATTGTAGCACCTTCCCTGGGCGTAATCGAACGTCGTAGAGTCTACGTAGCCCGATCCGATGGCTCCGGAAGGGTTGCCGCAGCTGTCGGGCGCGAAGAAGTATGCGAATTGGTGGTTTCCTCCCCAGGTCGTGATCCTGAAGGATCCAAAGCCTTGTGGCCAGGCTGCACAGGTGTCGTCCCAGATGTTGACAGTTTGCTGGACATTGCCGCCGCAGTGACGGTCACCGAAGGTATCGATGACGAAGGCGGTTCCACTGGCAGCGAGGGCGGCCATGACGGCAGTGGTGGAGGCGATGGAGAAACGCATTTTGGATGAGGTTGCAAGTTTGCGGAGTGAGAAGGTAGTCTTGAAGATGGTAGATGCGGTTGAAGGAACTGTTCGAGTTGGTGGATGATACAAGATTACCAGCGGAAGAAGGGATTATATATTCCAACCGCTGAACTTTCTTTCAGCTTCACTTTGATTACTCGGTGTGACACTGCCTCCTTGCTTTCGTGGTCTTCGCGACCGGTGAGGTAGTATTGGCTAGGGTCGACGGTCTGAGGTTGTCCATGCTTCACCGACTCTCTCTCTTCAGTTGATACACGCTCATCTTCGACCTCATTTAGATGGTTCGCGAGCCAGGACGTGCCCAATCACCCGTTTCAAGTCGCTGTGTGCACCCATGTAGGCAGGCTGTAGCGATTTTGGCCCCCTCAGCTCGGTTCTGATGGTTTTCTTTGACCAATACTTCCATGCGGAGTGAAGATGACCTTGGTATCACCGACAACGAGGATGATCTTGGGTATACGCCTACGTTGTTGTAAGACCAAGCTAACAGCAGAACAAAGTTCGGAGCGGAATGGGCGAACAGTAAAATAAGGTTCGAGACGGAATGGGCAATGGTGGAATGTACGCGTAGAGGGCCGCGCCATACAATGAAGTCACTGTTTAAGAGGTCATCAGGCTACCTAGGTACTTCTGAGGGCTGTACGCCCTTACTCACCGCCCAAACGAGGGTAGAGGAGGAATTACTACCAACTGCCTAAGTAATTAAGGACGAGATGGTGTTGGAGGCTACAACAGAGCACAGACACTATCCTAAGACCGTTTGAACACTATATCACGCTTTTAACATCGTGCTTACACCGTCTCATCCTTGATTGGTTGGTAGAACTTTCTACTCGACCCTATATGGCGCGCTACGGTACTCCGGTGTATGACCTGGGGTAGCTGATTGACAGCAATGCCATTGTTGAGATGAGTGATTTCGTTGCGCAAGTGGTAGCTGCGGGCTTCCAAGCTCTTGCACCTGAGGACAGCGAAAGCCTGAAAATACCTAGGGATTTTGAGCAACACCACCGTTCTGCACTACAACGTGGTAAATAAATTCTAGGAAAAACACTATGTATACTCTGCAAAGCTGCGAGTAAAATGGTCTCCTTATATTTTTCTTTAGAGGCGTTACAGTCGAGGTAGAAGACGACCTACCAGCTTATGTCCGGCTTTTGCTGTCTCGCTAGAGCCAAGGTTCCTCAAATGTCCAAGAAACCAAGAAGCCTCTCGGCCGACAGGCACGTGACGTCGAGTGAGCCCCTCCAGTCTCCTCCATCACTGATAACCACGATACCGCGACACGGGCGGCACATCGGCCATGAAAATCACTTTTGCTCCGCAGAACCTCGCATCGCAGCCATCCCTGCCGCATTTCGTCATCGCAAGGCGTGGGATCGCTGAAAATAGCGGGCGCTAGGCCGAACGCAAGTAGCGAGTTCCTCGATCCACGACTTTCGGGAGAATCTCGACCCACGGCGAAGGTGCAAGCGTCCCAAAATACACATGGCATATCTCCACCTCCGCCACCGATACAGCAACCCGCAGTAAACCATGACCAACACGTCTCGTGGCCTCAGAGCTCGTGTTCTCAAGCCGATCCGTCGCCGAGGAAAAAGAAACGTCATCTTTAATCTTTAACCTTTGGTCTCATCGCCCAAGCACAGTCAGATAGACAACATACGCCTCTGTTCTGTTGGAAGGCCCGAGAGATGTAGACGCACCTGTCAGCGATCCAAAGAACCGGGGCTGCCCGGTTTGGCGGTTCAGAAACAGCACGTTGGCAGAAGAACGGTTTTCTGGTTCAGGAGCATGATAGCGCGCAGCTGGCAGAGGCCAGGGTCTCAGATCATTGTAGTGTCGATTGAACCCTGTGATTTCGCGCACTACGGACAATGATCTGACCACCACAAAAGCTAACATGACATAGTTTCTCAACATTGAGCTATGCAAATTTTCTCTCAGCCACAACGATCCCGAGAGAGGGGCGCGTTGGACATGAGACCTTCAACGACTGTATACTCTCCACTCCGGATAACATCTGCAGCACACGAGGTGTCAACGGTTGCAGCCTTATCCTATCTCTCACACCTGATACGAGATAATGCCGGTGGTTGTAATGCCGACTATGCCGCACGAGTCATAGCGAGCGAACTGTATTGCCTCTCCTGTGCTAGCGGCGTCCTGCTAACCTGGAATGAACACGAGATCTGTGGATACACAATAGTCCAAGTTGCTAGGGCCGCAGACTGTTCGATTGAAGCCTCCAAAATGCATGCGCTTGCAAGCATGCGCTCCTGCACGACGAGGCCGTTCGCCCCAAGGTCTTACACAGAGCCTCTGATGGTGGTTCTTGATACGGGGGGCTCCACAGTCAGTTCGGCATATCATGTCGCATGTTCCTGTTGATTGAGACCTTTTCTTCACGCTCTCCATCACGCTCTACTCTTTGTGTAATACTTGTCCGTTCGCTCGGCCATCGACACTCGCTCCACACATCAGATCAAAGGGATATAGTCCATGCTATAATATCTTCTCTAATAATTAATACCCCACACTCTCACGACCTTCGCTACTAGATCTATCGATCTCTAATACCAACCGCCTATCAAATTCTGCGAGTCACAGCGAACACGCAACGCCTTATTCACGAACTTAGATATGCCTTCCACGACCATCATGAAGCAGGGCCTCGCCACTGCTGTTCTTGCAGCTCTTCCTTTGGCTGCCCGTGCCCAAGGCACCACTCCTCCTAAGCTCACCGCAGCCTGTAACGATGTCGCTATCTTCATGGCACGCGGCAATGACGCACCTTACAGCGATGGCCGTACCTCAGATTTCAGAGATACCGTCTGCGCAAAATTCGAGGCTCAAGGAAACTCTTGCGATTACATGGATCTCGTCTTCGATGCCACTCTCGGCGTGGAGTTCTGCCCTACTATCCAGGACGGTGCCGTCAACGGGGTCAGGCAAATCACCGAGTACAACGCCCAGTGCCCGGATACTTTAATCGTCGTCAACGGTTACTCGCAAGGTGCTATGGTTGCCGGAGCTACTCTGAGTGGCGGAGGCGCCGATGCCTGCGACGTTGACACCAAGACCACCGGCCTCGATGCCAACTCTCAAGCTGGTCAGGCAGTCAAGGCAGCCCTTCTCTGGGGTGATGTCAAGCACACTGCAAACCAGGTCTACAACGTCCTCGACGGAGCAGACAAGCAAGCTTGGGGCCGTACCGGCTCTAACCTTGAGCGTTTGAACACTTACTCCTCCGTCTTGAGGTCGTACTGTGCCGGCGGTGACCCAGTCTGCGCTGGTGGAGATGACGTAGCTCAGCATCTGAACTACTTCGAGCTCTACACCGAGGAGGCATCAAACTGGATCGTGAGCAAGCTGACACCTCTCCTGGTCAATCCCTCATCGGCCGCGCCTGTCAGCTCAGCTACTCCTACCCCTACCCCTGAGGTCTCCTCAACTGCCGCACCGGTCGAGACCTCAAGCACAGTTGTGGTACCAGCCTCCTCCGAGGCCTTGACTGTCAGCAAGGAAGCTGTTACCACCACCATGATGAAGCCATCTACCATGATCTCTTCATACATCCCTGTCACCACTGCGAACGCTACTTCCACCGCAACTTCCGAGGCGGCTACCGCATACCCTATCACCATCCCTCACAAGCACCTCAACACCACCGTCCCGTACGGCAACTCTACCATGCATGCCTCCAGCACTCTCATGACCTCTGAGAAGCCCTACGAGACTACCTACCTGCCTGTCGAGCCCTCTCACGCGCCTGTTGAAGAGTCGCATGCTCCCGCTCCCGCTCCCGTCACCACCATGGCACCAGAGCACTCCGCTGCTGCTGCTGCTTGCCCACCAGCCACCGTCTACGAGACCGTCACAGAAGTTACGTACATGTACGTATAAACTGGTCTAGATCAGGAGAATTGGGTTGAAGGGAGGATCACGAGAGATATGTTAGATTGGATGTATATATTACCCTTCGTAAATGGAAAAACATTCGTATAATCATGATAGAATTTGTTCTACACGGCCCGCATTTACATTTGATGTTTCCTCCTTAGATGCCCAATGCCTTTGCGATAGCCTCTCCGACTGCTGTGGCACTGGTAGGGTTCTGCCCAGTGATCAAGCGACCAGAGATGGCAACCTTCTCGCCCCAAGGCTCAGCTGCCTTGACGAACTTGCCTCCACTCGCCTTGTTCAGCGCATCCTCGGGCAGGAAGGGTACGACCTTGGAGAGGCCAACTTGTTCCTCCTCAGCGTTTGTGAATGCGGTAACCTCCTTGCCAGCGACAAGTAGACTGCCGTCGCTCAGCTTAGCATCGTAGAAGACAGCAGGCGCATGGCAAACAGCCGAAACGATCTTGTCTGCCTCCCAGAATTCCCTGATGAGTTGTTGCGAGGTCGCGTCGTCGACGAGATCGAACATGGGTCCGTGACCGCCAACGTAGAAGATGGCGTCGAAGTCCTTCGCTTTGCCCTTGAAGTCGCTCAGCTTCTGGGTTGTCTTCCAGACCTGCTCGTTGTTCTTGAGGAAGTTGACGGATACATCATCTTTCGCGGCTTCGACGGATGCGGGGTCGAGAGGTGATTCACCGCCCTTGGGCGATGCTACCGTGATGTTGGCTTTGCTGTGGAGGACATGGTAGGGGTGGGCGAGCTCGGGGAGGTACCAGCCGGTGGGCTTGCCGGTGTCGCCGAGCTTGTTGTGCGAGGTGAGGACGAAGAGAATGTTTGGCTTGGACATTTTGAAGGTATGATGTGTTTGATTTGGTGAGTTGGTGCGTAGAGTCGTTGTCTTTAAACCTTTTATGAAAAGTTCGATAGCTTTCCACTGGAGAGTACCTTGCTCAATGTGACGACATGCGGGGTAGCTACGATGGAAAAGGCCCGATTATGCAGGGCACCGTCTGTTAGCGTCAGGGACGTCATCTTGAAAAATTACCTTTCCTGCTCGCCGAGTACAAAATACTTACAAATACTCCAGCATGTGATCGGCCAGCTCTGGCAGCTGTTGTGCGACATGCTGCTCCATTCCCCACCCAGATCTCGGTGCAGCTTACGTTTTGAGTAGAATTTGGACGACGATGACGTTTTGTCAGATTCAGCCTTCCTCTTTTTGTTCAGGACATCTCATTCGGGAGCATGCGCTGGCGAGCCTTCGGCATCTCCGGGCAGCTTGGAGGTGTGTAGCATCTCAATTGACGGTAAGGAGGCATCGCAGCCTGTCATTCGATATGGTGGAGTGCAGATCTTGTTCCAGAGTAAGCATCAGTCAGCGTCGAGATATAACCCCTTTACTTTACGACTTAATGCCGAAAAGTCTCCTAATGACGTCGCCGATTATCTCTACTGGATTCGCTCTCCTGGGTCCCACTCTTTCCCTGCTACCAGGTGTCTGATATGGGTTGCCCAATTTGTGATTCAATGAGTGTGTTTAGCGATAGCGAGGGCAGCTGTTTTGCCGAATAGACATTTGTACATACTGATCTCCTCCGCATACTTCGAAATCAGGTTCAAAGTCATTATACGTCGTGAGATCCTTGGGTATGTCCTCGACTATAAGCGCATAGTCAAACACCATGTCTGTAAGCTCTCTCGGCAACCTGAGTCCTACGATGTGATACACGTTTCTTTTGATTTCGGCATAAGCCTGGCGTTCAAAGATGTTGTAGGCTGCCACGAAGTCGGACTGGACGCAGCCGTCTCTGTCGAACCCATCCCATCTGTCGTAGTTCTCGTCGAGGACTTCCCACTCATGATGAATAGGACAAGCAAGCATGTCTCTTGCCCATTCTCGGATATCTCTACATGCTTCAGCGGCCCCGACAAATAGTATAAGCTTGCAATAGAATTCCTCGCCATGTGTGGGGGTCTTTCTTTTTTTCTAGCCGTAGAATGTTCGAAGCAAGAAATTATCGAGCTCCTGATTAGCAGAACAACCGAAGAACTTTTCGTCCCTGTGTAACAACTCCGTTTTCGTGGTCGTATACCAGTCGACTGCTATGTCCAAGCAACCGACAGCTTCATCGGCCAAGTTCTGCATCATGTGGAGCAGTCGTGGTAGGAAAATCCGGCGGAAGTATCTTCCCAATGGATCATCCTTTATGGGCCCGTTAAGGTGCCGCTTGTCCCAGGTGTTACCGCGATCCCACGCCACTTTGAGGAAGGATAACGTGGTCCTGAACCTATCGTAGACTACGAGGTCGAAAACTTCTGTGTCAACGGAACGGCGCAGATCTGTTAGAGCCTTGAAGACCTCTTCGGGCATGTCTTGGTTCGGTTGTCAGTACGATACAGACATTGGGAGGTGTGTACAGACCTTCCGAGAAGACGTCATACAACGTCCAATCCCGAAAACGCTGTCCTTCGTCAATGTATGGGCCCACAGGGAACTCAAACGTGAATTGATAGTTATCTAGGTTGCCCATAGTTTTGACAAAAAATGCAGGATGGATGAAATGTAGAGGCGACGCGGTTTCGCGCGCGCAGACGCGCAGCCATCTGGGCAACCTCGGGAAGCTTGGCGTTAGCCCTTCTTCTGGCCACAATCCCAGCGGCGCAGTCAACACACCCACGGTCGACATAGCATAATTCATACTCGCTTTTACCGCAGGCTTCAAGAGCTTCATGAGTCATTTCTATCTTCTCGAATCATGTGCATGCAGAGGAGCTCTTGGATGCGCTCGCGGCTCCTACCGAGAACTAACGGGCCATCGTCCTCTTCCTCAAGCATACCTACCTAGGTAGGTACAAATACCCATTCGGTATCTTAACCGTCGTTGGGAGAACGCAACAATCACGCCGGTCAGAAAGACCCCATAGGTCACGCTTCAGGGTTGGAGGTGTTACCTGCTTTCAGCGTTCGCGGATGGTCAAGCTTCTGGTTGGCCAATTGTTCACCTGGGTCGCGCAAATAGCCCGATTCGACATCGTGTGCATCTAGATTGCGGGACATGTGGATAAAGACAAACTACTCATACGGTCTGTACGCATCCGCGAAGGCCACAAAGACAAGTGTTAGGGATGTATAAAAGACGGGTAGCCATGAGCGGTTTACATGGTACCTACCTCCAGGTGGAGATCATAATTCGTCGCCATGACATCTTTCGACAACAAAACTGTCATCATCACGGGTTGTAGCAGCGGCATTGGCCTCGCGACGACCCTCCTTTTCCTATCACAGAAAGCCCAAGTCTTTGGCATCGATATGTCGCAGTTCGACCAAGACCTTGATGTCACCCAGAAAGCGTCTTTCACCTTCCATAAAACCGATCTTTGCAGATCCGGCACAGCAGAAAAGGCCGTAGCTGCTTGCATCGCAAAGTACGGACCGAAGATCGACGTGCTGGCTAACGTTGCAGGCATCATGGACGGTTTTGGCAGCGCCGATACAGTCAAGGACTCGGAATGGGAGCGCGTCCTGACCATCAACCTCACAGTACCGGTCAGAATGATGGCGGCTGTGTTGCCCAGTATGAAAGACCAGAAAAGCGGTGCCATTATCAATGTTGGTAGTTATGCAAGTCTTTCCGGTGCAGTGGCAGGCATCGCATACACAGCCAGTAAGCATGGGCTTGTCGGTGCGACCAAGAACGTCGCGTGGCGCTTTCGCAAAGATGGTATCAGGTGTAATGCCGTACTCCCAGGTGGTGCGTATCGCGTCTAGTCCTGGAACTTAGAAGATGTTGTTCTAACAAGAGTTTCAGCCGTGCCGACCAACATCCGCTCGTCGGTGGTGAAAGAGGACGTCGATCAGGCTGCAATGGAAACGTACAAGTAAGGGTTTACAGCCCTTGGCACCCTGTCATTGCTGACAAGCTCGCAGCCCCGTGCAGATGTTATGCCAAGGTCTCAAAAGAGACGATCTTCCATACGGATCAGTGGGCCCGAACGATATCGCACAGGGCATTGCATTCCTTGCGTCTGATGCTGCAAGGACGATCAGCGGTATTATGATGCCGATAGACAATGCTTGGTCGACGATATAGGAGACGGGCTCAGTACTACAGAAGCTGCTCGCTGATGGCGTAGCGCGGCGCTTCTCCAGAGGACTCAGTCAACACAAGCAGTCAACACAAGAAATCCGGAGACTTCGCCGACAAGTTCGAACACGTAGTAGAAGATGCCGGCCTATCTATCAAGTTAGTAAATGATAGCGAGACACGAACAACACTATCCCAAAGCAGGAAATTATCAATCAATGAAATTCGTTATCGCCTGCTGGGCACAGTCATGCCTCTCCGACAGCAACATCCAGCTCTCGCCGCCTCTTTCGTGCTGCCGCTCATCCGCGCAGCAACTCTGCCAAGAATGCCTCCGTCGGCTTCACATCGAGAACTGTTCCAACCATGCCTGCCTCTACTAGGCCTCAGTCCACAATCAGGCGCTGCACGGTCCTGACCGCTAGCTCCGCCTCGTTGCAACAACCACTAGTTCGACCTCGACCCAGCACAGACTCATCGGAGAAGCTGTTCAGCGAAGGAGTCGGCCTTCGGGGACTGCCAGGATGGTGGCCAGGCTTCCAGCAAGTTTTGCGTACATGCAGTTCGCATGTTGACATACATCCAGGTGCTCTGGCGCAGATACGTCCCCTAGCGAATCAAGCCATGATATCTAAGCGCTGCTTTGCACCAGTTGAACTGCATTCTCCCGATAATGTCGGTCAGCTCTTTGCTGTGGTACTTCATCGCAATGTCCACCCGTTCCTTGTGGGTCAGATTAACGACTTTCTTATATGCCCATGGGCAATCTCCAGGGAACGTGAAGTCTTCTGGGCCCAAACTCATAGCCCAGCGGGTGAGCCAAGGGCCGTATGGAAGTTCTTCCGGCTCGGGAGACTGTCGAGCAGTTCTTGCACGCCTCTTTGTCTTTGGCCGCGTCGGCGGTGTTGGTTGCTGGGAAGGTCCTTGATAAGGCCCCGCTCCATTATCGGCAGTATCCCTCATTACCCTCGGTTGCGTTGGTGGTGGCACCTGCTGAGAAGCACTCTGACTTGCAGCCTCCCTTTCTGCCCTCATCCTGGCACCGGGCAGCTTGTCGGGATAGAATTCCTCGAAGGCGTCCCATAAAGGCGCCCACTCTCCATCCAGGAAATTTCCCTGTGCAATCGCATCCGAAAGCTCATTGACAATATTCAAGGGGACTTGGAAGAATGGCTTGCCACTGAACGGAACTTCTGTCCCTTCTTTGTCGAATCTTGCCGGCAAGCACCACTTCTTGAGGTCTAGAGGCTCATCCATTTCTTTCCTTAGAGCATCGAAGGCTTTCGCCAAACTCTTTTGCGGGGCATTAGATCCAGCCCAAGTTCGCGAAGGTAAGCGTAGACAATCCTTCCGACTTCACTTTCCGTAGGTTGATGAGGCGGGGAATGTGTTTCCTCGGATTCCGGCGTGGGCAGTCGTGGAGGTGGCGCCATCTCAGTAGCCTTGCCTTTGCCCTTGTCTTGTCTCGATTGTAGTGGTGTTTCCGGAAGTTCAGTATGCTCGGCTCTGAATTGCATTGCCGCACGCGAAGATACAGGAGACGAGATGTCCATAGCGGCTTCAGAGGGAGGGATTGAAACGCCTCCATTAACGCTTACATTGCTCAATGTAACACCACCATCAACGCTTTCTGGAACACCGCCATCAACGCTTTCTGGTACACGTCCATCAACGCTTTCCATGTCTACATCCTCGGTAAGGTCCACGTGCACTCGCTGCTTGGTGGTGGACGCCGACCGCGACTTCGAATTGCTGGAGGATGCTTTTCGGGAGTTGTTCTTGGACTTGTGTTGGTTCGGGGAGGTTGGGAGAGGTCGTATATCGTCGAAGAATCGCTTCTTCCTTACGGAGACTTCTTGCTCCGTAGGGCGGGCGCGCTTTGCGGGAACGTGTGGTTGTTGCTGTTCGGTCACATCATGGTATCTATACGAAGAGATCAGCTGGAGAGCTCTTGTAACTACTCGCAAGATGCTCACTCTACAGGATCGGAATACCCCAAGCGACCTTTCTCGGGTGGATCCAACGAGGTGGTGGACCGTTCGTTGTGACATCTGCACGAGCGAGGATGAAGTTCCATCGCTTCCATCTGATCTCCGTTTTTTTGCCATGGTGGCAACTTACAATTCGTCCACCAAGTATGGCTATCGCTGTGTCGAAGAGCTGTCGTTTTCTCGTGAGCGTCTCACCACGTCAGCGGCCCGCTTGACTAGTTAGTGGCTTGGCAGCCTTCTCTGTCCCGCTTCTGGAACGCCTCCAGGGCTGCTGCATCGCGTCCTACACAGTGAAGGATTCCAACAAATCTTGCGAAGAGAGGCATTTGCAGGCATTACACAACACGACTCGCGTTCTTCGAATCGTCAAACTTGAAGTTGAGGCGAAGACTTACCGGGTCAGCCTCTCCCCTTACCTTCTTTCGGCGACGCATGCATCATCTGCGACGCGACGGCGCTTTAACATCCAGAGATCATACCGTAGATGATGAACGAGAGGTTGAACCTCTAGTCAGCGCAGCGCCACAATATCGATATACTATGAAGATACGGCTGGCAGCACTGGCATGAGAAATGAAAGGGTCATCGATCCTTTCGATCTGGCCATGTGGCTGGCATTTCCTTTTGCTGCTAACAACATTGGTCGCGCACTCTACCTGAAGTGCGACTCCGAAGAACCCTCAGACAGACATCGCGTGGTCAAAGGGCTGACACACTCCCGAGGTCAGCCTTCAGGTCGAGCTTCGCTGGGATCAATGTCGTCATATGGTCGAACAACGCATCAAGTGCCTGCTTCATTCCTCATTCGTCTGTCATATCTGCATATCAATATTATTCGCGTTAATCGCATCCCATTCTGTTGCTACCCCGAATACCTCCTAGGATCATCCACCAAATTCTTCAACCTCCACGACTTTGGATCGTCGCTGAGGTTTGTACCCGGCAGTATGAGCTCCGAACGAATTGGATGTGAAAACTCTAGGTCCGTTTCGTCCATTGAATCATTATCACTATCCGTCTCTTCGATCGTGACATAGCGCCCGACAGCGTTGCGAACGTCGGCACTCAATCTTTTCTTCATGACCATGAGCATGACACCGGCGATGAAGGCGCTTTTCGATTGCTCGTATAGGCCATTAAAGCATAAGACGAGTGTCGAGAGAAGGGATTCGCTGACTTCCTGGGGAGCGTTGCCTGGGTCTTGTTCGAGCTGTTCAAGAGGCTCCAGAGTTAGGTTGGCGAGCTGGGCCAGAAAGATGGTAAGCGTAGAGTCGTACGCCTCGAAACTATGGCGGAGGTAGTATAAGCGCAAGATACTCTCGAGTTGAACGCTTGCCTGGGTAACGATTCGCTCAGCTGCGTTGCGTTGATGCTGCGTCAACAGCTGGTCCCCATCATCCCCAGACGAGATCTGCGACCGGAACAAAGTTACAAGAGCCGCATAGTACTCGCAACTGCAAACCTCTTAGCTTTTATATCATGGCCATCTGGCATGACCACTTACTGTAGCATCAGATGAGCGGGGTATACGATACAGCGAGGCTGCAGTTGAGCAGGCAAACCTCCATACCAGGCTTCCAACTTTGCCTGAATATGCAGAGCTGCACCCCAAGGCATCTTCCTAGACTCTTTGGAGCGACTAAAGCACATGACGCCGATCTCATTTTGGATGACCCGCAACTCGCACAGTGCTTTCATGCTATGGGCGAATTCGGGTGAGTAGGTCTGCTCGTCCGGTGGATAACGCAATGACATCTGGCCGTACCACTCCGATCTGCCATCGGCGTCAGGAAGCGGATCTGCCGGAATATCCAAGAGGCACGGTGGCTTGAAGTAGTAGTAGCTCTGCAATCTGACAGAAGTTAGCTGAGGAATGATATTGAACAAGTGTACTTACGATAGCCATGCGGAAATGGCCCAGCCAGTGAACGATTTCGCGTGTTCAACTTTATTGTCGTATGACCTAGGCGTGAAAAGACTCATTCGATGTGCCATGCTGAGCGCTTTGAACATATAAGAGAACCCGACCCTATCATGACCAAAGTCATTCATCGTGGCGTTGATGAGGCAGCCAGCTTGAATCGTTGTAAGCTTTGGCTGCCCCTCTTCTAGTTCCCATAGTCGTTTTGCTTCAGCCAAGAATCGATATGGCAGGCTATCTGGATTCCAAAACTTGGTCTGGTTGGCAAACAGTCGAGAACTAACCTATGGCACGTTAGTGAACCCCCATCCATGATACAGATGTACACTTACTCACACAAGATTTGGCCAAAAGTGCGTTGACGAGTAGAGGAGAGCAGAACTCAGCTCTTCTCGATACCATGTCTTCTAGTAGATAATTCTTGACAAAGAAGAACTGTCTTGGATACTGATTGACAAAGTAACTTTCAAGAATGTTGCGCAGCAATCGATCGTTGGAGCTAACACTAGTCCAGTGCGACGGTTGTGCATCCTCAAGTAGAGGGTCAACCAACTTGGCCGAGGAAAAAGGTCTCCAGTAACTGCTCTCTTGCGGAGCAAGATGCGCCTCTGAGGTACCCAGGTCCCTGTCAGATGCATCGATTACTTCATAAACCCGTGATCGAAAGTAAGCGCTGTCACGAAGGCTTGGTGGTATCTCATCCAGGAACGGAAAGTGAAAGCGCGTCGACGCTTGTGGAACATCAGAAGCCTCAGCAACCATGTTCCCTTCTTGAATATGCTTTACCAGGGCCTCCGCATTTGCGCCGGCTCGAATGCGGCGAAAGATGCCGGCTGCATCCCTCTCCGGTAGGTTTTGTAACATGTCGAATAGTTCTTCCTGGGCA